CTTTGAATAATATCGTTGAAGAAAATGTATAATCATCCCCTCAGTATATTTAGCATGTTATTTAAGGTGTTGATACATCAGAAGTTCACTTTTCAATATTATAATTGTATAACTATGTTCTTCTTTTCTTCTGTCATTTTATACTTCAGAAAGAAGTTCTCTACCCTAAAATACATGTGATATATTTCCCTTATAATTATAAAGGATTGTAAGTTCTTGCCAAAATAGTCAACACAAACAGACTGTGAATAGTTCACACAAATTTAAATACTTTGAAGATTGCTGTTTTTATTTTCAATATGAGCCTGCCTTCCCTCTGGTTTGCCACCAAAATTAGCCACTATAGAATGAGCCAGTTGGCTGTATAGAAGAGATTAGCTGGGTATGGATTGTTCATGATGAATTTTTATGTATTTACACACACTACTGTAGTTTGAATCTTGAGTATTCCCCAAAGGGCCACATGTTAAAGGGCTAGTTCTCAGAATGGATCATTTGAGAGAATGTACAATGTTTGTTAGGTGGGGCCTCTTGGGAAATCCTTAGGTCACTGAAGGCATGTCTTCCGGGCTTGTGGGCCTATAGTTCTTTCCTCATTCTCCTGTTTGTTATTTTGCTGATGAAGTGAATGATTTCCCACTACTACCCATTCCTGCCAGGATGTACTACCTTGCCATAGACCAACAGCAACGGGAGCAACTGACGATGGACTGGAAACTTCAAATATATGACCCAAAGTAAGCGTTTTCTCTTTATAAATTAGCTCTCTCGGGTGTTTTTTTTTTCCATAATAATGGATATGTACATGTATATTTTTATTTAGTGCTTTACATTTACTTAAATGGGCAAAGATAAGGGCAAATAATTCAACCCAATCTATATAGTTTTGGGGAAACTAAACTTAAATTTGGGGAATCCTTTTTTTAAAAAAAGCAATCATTTGTAGAAAAGTTTAATGATTGCTTTTATGGAACAGTAGCTAGAATTCAAATAGAAAACTGAAAGTAAAAGTAAAAAACAATGCAGCGGTACCTTGGTTCACAAACTTAATTTGTTCCACGGTTGTGGAAGAGATGGACACATTTAATTTCCTGCAAATTCGTATTTGTCATCAGATTCAGAGTTTGCAAACAAAAGTGTTTGTGAACCGAGCTATCACTGCATTTATAAGAAGTCGTTGTATTTACTGTTATTTTGTATTAATTGCCTCATTATATAAAAATGTGGCTGTCTTGCTAAGTGAATTTTTATAGATTTTAATCATTTACAAGGTTTTCCATGGCTTATCACCAACATATATTCTGTCGCTGCAATTAAAATTGTTAAATAAATAATTGAAAACTCACATTTTGTTCACTATACATCTTTGTCTAAATATTTGAGGTGCAGTTAGAAAAACACTCTCTGTATATTTTGAATTTTTTTCAGTTGTAACACAGAATGTACCAATTTGAATGTTGCAGAGTATGGAAGTATAGCTCTGTTTTAATCATTACACTCCATAGATGTATATCAAATTATTACAGTATTTCTCATAAATTTTTCAAATAAATTTCCAATTCCATACCAAAAATGTAAACATGTATACTTCAAATACATACTAATAAAAATAAATTGAAATCCAATAAATGATGAAAAATGAGACAAATATATTATGTTCTTCACATCGAATTTACTCACAAACATGTACACTTTTGTAGAAGTTTTTGACATTGTGACTAAAAAAAGTAACAAGGATAAGCTATTAGCTTGTCAGTAACTTGTCAAAATTACAGATACATTGATATTTGTTCCCTATAAATTTGGATGCTTTTCTGGATCTCTTTTTCATTCCTTTCTTGATTAACAGCAATTTTTGTTTATTAGGGGTAACTTCACAGTAAATAGAAGTGGAAATAAAGAATGTTCCCATAATTAAGCCTCAGAAAAATTGGAGTTCATCCTCACGAATCTTTCCTTCCAGGAAACAAGAATCTTTGGAGCACTAATTTTCATGGGAACTTTGAATGATTGACACTGAAAAACATGCCTCATGCTAGATGTTAGATATATGTAGCCCTCGTTTACCTGGGTGGCTGGAACAGATTAACAAACTGGTTAGCTTAGACAACAGAAATGTATCGTCTTATATTTTAGAATGATAAAATTCTGAGATCAAAGTATAGGCAGGGATAGTTTTTTATGAAAGTTGTAAAAGAGAATCTGTTCCAGGATTTTGCCTATCTCTTGTTGTCTGGCTGAAGATCTTTGGCATGCTAGGCATGTAGGCATGACCCACACATCTGCCTTCATCTTCACATGATTTTCTCATTTTTTGCAAGTCTCTATGACCACACTCATTCCATTTTTAAGGAAACTAGCCATGCTGAATTATGATTCATCCTACTGACCTCGTTTTAGTGTAACTAATTACATCAATAACTTGAGTTCCAAATAAATTTCTAAAATACTGGGCAATAGGAACTCAACATATGAGTTTTAGGTTTTATAATTCAGCCTATAATAACTCATAAGGGCATTTCCATGTATTTTTCTTGGGTAATACAATAGTTTGGAGCTCTTTAATTTTCAGTAGCTTCTCATATCTCTATTTTTTAGTCCACCAACCAGTTGCAGCACTTTTAGATCTTTCTTCTGGTTGTTTACTATACACCTTCAGAAATGAGTTAAACAATTGGTTTTTTTGTTTGTTTGTTTGTTTTTACTTTGCATTCTACACAGTACGGAGAGAGTAGAGAGTTTAAGGCTTTTATCTCACACAATTAAGGCAAGTCTGCCTTAACATCTTTATTCTGAATTTCTGTGTAAGAAATATTTTTGAAGGAATTTCCTGCCTTAAAAACTGAGAAACAGTGAAATTTTGGTCCAACTTTAATAGTGGTTGGTGGAATAACGAAATGCCTTGCAATTAGAGAAGGATGATGGCTTCATGATCTTGTAATATAATATAAGCCACTGAATTGTGCACTTTAAAAGTTGGATTTTATAATATGTGCATTATATTTCAGTATTAATATGACTGCAAAATTTCCTTAGGATAAAAACTCAAGACACAAAGGCACATTCAAGTCCTCCTCCCCTAAAGAAGAAAAACAAAAACCACTAAGTACTGGCCTCTAACACACAAATTGTTATCCTTTACATAGAATAATTTAGACTGCCAAAATTGCATCATACTTATATCATTCTTTTTATGTTGTATTAGGTTATAATCATCTTCAAAGAAGTTATTTTATCTTTCCAGTTTTATTTCTTATAAACCATTAAGGATTGGCTGCACATAGCAGTTCTTCAATAAATGTGTTAATGAAAGTCACACAAGTGACTTAAGAGATTTAAAAGCTTAAATTTTGAAAGCAGCCATACTTGGATCAAATCCTGGCCCTGTCAAGTGATTTTAGAAAAGCTCTAAATCTCTCTAGGCCTGAAGATCTGCTTTATAGTAAGTGCACAGTCATAGCTATAAAAGTGCATAGATAATAGCTATAAAGAATTCGCACTACTACTGTATTAATACTAGTAGTAGCACCATTGACTTTTATGAATTGACTATTTGTGGTTGTGAATCATATAAATTGAAATAGCCTTTCAACCTCACTTTAAATGCAGAAGCCCTTTTTTGCATTGGTTGGCTCAGCTAAATAACTCTATCAAAATTCACTCATTTAGTCAGATTATCAGTAATATTTATTGATGGTTACGAGGTTTAACTTCTTGGCAAAGTCAGCTATCTGCCGTATTCTCCCATTAACTTTTGACTCTGTGCCTATTCTCCTGTAGTCCCCAGGAAGCCAGCTGTCTCTGCACCAGGTGACTTGGGCTCTATGTCTGTTCTCTCTCCAAAATTGACCAGTTTGTTGTTCATCCTCTTGGCTTATATGTCAGCCTGCATAATCACCAACCCCAGGCCTTACAGCCTTTCATTTATAGTTTGCATTTATGAACTGATTTGGAGCTCATGTGTGAAGCTATGCTTTTTCCTGTCTCATGTTGTACAGCCTCACAGAAGACAGTATAGATACTAAAATACAAGATCTAAAATTTTGACCATTTTAACTTTATCACTCAGAGTACACCAAGCAAATAATTTATTTAAGAGCTCATGTCTTTGTTTTCTTCCTTTTCTTTCCTTTGTGCTGAGATAAAAAAATACTTTGCGTTGCCATGCTCAATTTAAAATAACATTGTTGGGGCCAGGAATTTAGCTCAGTGGTGCCACCACTTGCCTTGCAGGTGAAAGGTCCCAAGTTCTATCCCAGGTACCAAAAAATAAAAAATAAATATAAAAAATAAAAAAACATAATAATAATTCAATAACAAAATAATTTAAATAACAAAATCATAATTCTACACTATATGTTTTTGTTTAGGCTTAAAATGCCACCCAAAGGTCTCATGTTATTACAGATAGAGCTTTAGGAAGATGACTGGCTTGTTAGGGCTCTGTAGTAACCAAAACATTCATCCATTTATGTGTCCATAACTGAATGTGGGGTCTGATTGGAGGAAATAGGGCATGGGGTGTGTCTTGGAAAGATGTGTTATTTTCTGCCGCATCTTCCTCTTGTTCTCCTTCTCTTGGTTTCTCTCTACTTCCGGGCAGCATTTTCTGCCATGCCCTCTGCTGTGTCATTTCTACCTGGAGGAAAGCTGGCCATCGACTGAAACTGTGAACCAAAATAAACCTGTTTTCCTCTAAATTATGTGTGTCAGGTATTTGATATTAGCAACAAACTAATACTGACTAATACTGTACACTTACTTATTATACTAAAACTAGAGCCTTTTGTGGAGAAAGTAAATATAAAATCCTGTCTGTGAAGTGCCAACGTGCACAAAGCTGGTGTACCTGTTCACGTGGGTAAGAAATGAAATGGGTCAATCTTTTCATAGCTCAAATTCTTGTCCTTTATGACATATCCAAGTTGTTGCCAGGCATTTTATACCCAATTCTTCTTCTCTGGCTTCAGCGTCATGACAGCACCATACTTAATTGCTGAACGATACTTTCCAAACATGTTCGTCTCCTTGTTTCCACTTCAGTTTAAATGAATCAACCTGCAGTGGATAACTAAAGGTAATTGTGAAAAAGGTGAGCTCATTTGCTCATGGGGTGCTCAAATGTCAGTAGTGCTAATTATTATGTTCTGTCTGTTCAAGGAGAAATGCCTTTCCCCATGTAAGACCGTTCCATGTAGGAAGCCTTGGCCTCCGAGAATGCTAGGATTACAGCTATGTATCACCATGCTTTCACCCCTTGAGAATTTTTACAATTTTTAAACTTTGCAGTGGTGCAGGATGGTTTACTAGGATGTAACTCCGTCATATGCTGAGAAACATCTGTATTGTCAATGGATTGGTATCACTTTATTGCCTTCTGATTTCTGAAAATGAAGACTACATTATTTAGGCAAATGGACTTGATAAAAGTTAAGAGCACACTCAATGAGCTTCAGTAAATTATATATAAACCTAAATGTATAGACATGCAGTGAGACCTTAAAAAAAAAAAAAGAGCTCATTTTATTGCAAATATACTTTGGAGGAAAAATAGGCAATAATTCTGGGCACGCCAGTAATATTATTAGTGTGATGATTCAAGTTATCAGATTTAACAACAAGTTGTCATAACCCCAAGTAAACAATTGTTAATTTTTAAGACCTAGAATCTCCTTTTGCTCTGTTTGTTTGTTATGACAATTTCTCTGAGAAGAGCAGGTTTAGGGGGATTTTATCATCCTGCGGATGACAGGACTCTGCCAAAGAGTTCTGGCCTACAAATGGGTGCTGTTTCATTGGTTCTAGTCCAGAGAATGGAGTTATGTATAACCAACAAAGCATGATGAACTACAAACAAAAAACCTTTGTGTATTCACAAAGGTAGTTACCAAGCAGATTTCCTACAGTGGGTATACAAAACTTTACAGAAGATAGCTAAGAAATAGTTTTAAATTATGAAGTTTGGTGATAAAAATGTTTATGCTTCTATTGTAATCAATAATGTTATAGCTCCTCATTAGGAAAAAATATTACATATGTGTGAAATATCTTCTGGTCTTAGACTTTTCTTACAGTCCATCGATACTTGTTCAGACTTGTAGAACATGATGTCCAAATTTTAATCCTCCCTGAGCATCTTCAGCCCATCAAAACTTTAACATACGATGAATTTTCCAATGATACAAAAGAGGGTCCATTTATGGCAGGAGTACAGAGAGCCTCTGGTAGAATTACAAAAGGTTGAGTCATTTTTCATGGGCAAAAATCCCAGAAAAAAATAGATTATACATAAAGGCAAGAAGTGTTTTCAGGTTATTGGTGTTGGTAGATCAAGTCTTCTTTTATCCAAACATTCATTTTTTTTTTCTATTTCTGTATTCGGTGGCTTTGTTATTCTTCTTCTATGGTGTTTATAAAGTGTGTTTATCTTTATGGACTTCTCAGTACTATTAGTAAGAACAAGAGGCAGTTGATCAGATACTAGCAGGCAGTTGATTTTCATGCTTATCCATGAAAAAAACAAATATCAAAACAAAATTTCTTATTTTGTGATTTTATAAACACAGCATAAGTCATTCTAAAAATACATTTCAGATAATTTTTCCCTGTATGATCAGGACTACAGAATTTAACTAACATAGAGAGTAATGGCTATGAGCTCTTGTTTCCCATCATAGGCTGTAAATGTTTAAGAATGTCCACTAACGGTTGTACATTATTATTGGACTTGAATGGAAACAGGCTTTTCTTCCTTTTAAAGGTGTAAGCATTTATCAGTCACACACCTGAAATACAGCAGTTGAAATGTAGTCCCTGAGGATGAATCTCATGTAATCCACAGCAAGTCGTATGGAAGACATAACTGTCTTTATAAAAGCTTTTATTATTTAAAGACAGGCAGGAAAATCCTAAAATTCTGAGTTATTTTTTATTAAACTATTGATGATTTGACCTCAAATACAACAGAATTTTGAAAGCTGAATTAGATATGAGAAGACATTTCATGTTCTAGCTCTATTCAGTGACTTAAACTTGAAAAATGAATAATTAACTGATGAATGAAGCCAAGGTTTTTATTATCATTTTAAAAGCAGAAGTGTGCTCTATAGTTTTAAACTTATTTTTAGCCTTCCAATAACTCCTGGAGCATCATCAAAATGTTACCATATTTTACAAATAATGGTCTGTGTTATCTTTTAAAAATTCTATTAAATTATTCTTTTTGAACAATTGTTTTATGTGTTGATATGCCAATATTATAATTTGGAGAGCAGAATGGATGGAAACTCAGATAGATCATGATTTATATTCTAAACTTTAAGAATACTGGGACTAACTACACACATAATACACACCTACTTTTCATTTATTTTTTTGCATATCAGCACATATATGTATGTAATAGGGATAAATGGATGTGTCTCACACTTAGGATTTTTAAGACAGAACAAAAGTAGTGTGTAGATCAAATTGAATAAGGGATCCTTTTGTGATTTTCATATATAGAATACTAATTACCCAGAGACTTCATCTTTGGCTTGAGAATTAGGAAACTGAAGAAAACAATGAAAAATATTTTTCATGCCATTATTACTGTCCTTAGAAAACTTACTTTATATGAAACCTGAATAATGTGAGTTTAAGTAGATGAAAATATCCTGACTCTGAGGACCCTTGAAACACTGCCACATGGGTAAATCAAATGAAAGGAATATTTGAAGTGAAGCAAAAAGGGCAGAGAAGATGCTTAATGGGCATCCTGTCAATTTTGAAATATTATCATGTTGAACAGGGTTAAAAAGATAATTTAAGTGAATGATGGTCATAGCAAAAGTTTTTGAATGGAAACTACGGAGAACAAGATTTACTCAATATATGGTAGAACTTTCAAGCCTTAGACTTGTCCAAATGGAATTTATTATCCTAAAAACACAAAACTTAGTGAATCCTTTGTCCTTGCCAGTGATTAGTGAGACATTGGGCAGCAGAGTTTTAGAAGTTTTGCAGAAATCATTAATGTTATAGAAATATTAATTTAGAAGTTAAGTTCACTTAGTATTATTTGAAATTCTAAGATCTTGTTTTTATTTGTTTTAAATTTTTCCCATTAGACTGTCAGTTCTTGAATCAATGTCTGTGCTGAATACAATTTTAAATGTTTTTTAAAGTGATTTAAAATAGGCTGTTTTATAAGCAAACACTTGACAAATACTTTTTGGTTGATTAATCTGTGCGTTAGGCAAAAGCTAAAAGCATCACAAGGACAAAGTTCTTCAAAATGCCTTCAGTGACAAAGTGCCGCAGGGTGGTCTGGATGACTTCATCTAACTACCAAAATGTAGACGCTTCTAGACACTCCCCTGTACCTGCCACACTTCATTTTCGTAGAGCTGTGTTTATAAGTGTAGTGTGACTATTGGGCATTTGTTGTCATTTTTCTATTACTTTCATGGCTCAGCCCTTTGTGCATCTGAACTTTAAAGTAAGGCTCAGATTGTGTTGAGGTCACTTAGTTTGGATCCTTACCCTTCCCTTCTTGCGTTTTCTCTCCTGTTCTGAGAAACTATACAGAATCAACCCATTTGAGTAGGATTCTGTAAGTCAGTATGTTCTACAAAAAATAAATTAATTGTATGTCTGCAACCACCACATATACTTGCTAATTTGAAACTAAGTGTAACTCTAATTTCATAAGACAGCAAACAATTTCTAATAATAAACCTTTACGTTTTGATAAGAACTATAAATCAGTTAATGTTTCCTCGTGCAATATAGCATTTGAGTGCTTTATTTCCTACTTTTGATAACCAGAAAAGGGCAAGAGTTTCTTTTTCAAGGGCTGGTTTTGAATCAGCTCTTTGGTTTCTGCTTGAAGAATGTATGACTAGTTGGTTACAATGATTTTAGAGAGGTAAAGCTTGTGCTCATAGAGTTCAGCAGCAGAACTCCAGTGGCTCTAGCTTTGCTATTTGTTTGATCCATTTTTGGTTTTATGTTTAGAAAAGCCTAGATCATAATGGTAAACCTATGGCACGTGTGTATTGTTTTTCTTTTAAGACAAAATGTGTTAATGTAGAGCTGTTTTATATAAACTAAAATTTCAGTATTCAGGTTTAACTTCAGTGTTGGCATTTTTAGATAAATAAGTGGGTCAATGCAATTGGCTAGTCTCTAAAAGGATCTACATTACTGGCCTAGATTAATATTAAAATGAATAAATAAAAGTTCATTTACTAAGTTTCATTCTTAAATATTTTATTAGGTAAATCATTTATTTCTTAATACTGCTTCTATGAACCACAATATTTTTACTATGAGCTATAGTAGGTATAAAAATAAATTGTGTGACTGGCCTAATTTTGTAAAGTAAAAAATAGAAAAGATCAAACTCAGAATTTCTGCTAGTCTTCTGAAGATATAGTATAGCATGAGAGAGTCTGTTAATAATGGAGATGTTAAGGATGATGATAACAAAGTGACACTGATCAAGATTAAGATACAAGTAGATGTGAGAAAAGATAAGATAGAGCCTTTTTGATTTAGTACTGTACACTTGAGTTGTATACTTAGACTAGCACAGGGAAGAATACAATGATGTTCACTGAAAAGTAGAATCTGAAAAGTGACCAAACTATTCTCGTGACTTTATTTTAAAAATAAATATATGGTATACTCTCTGCTCATTTGTCTACAGACTTTCTGTTTCTAGATCCCACAGAAGTGATTTTAAATTTTAAAAATTGTAGCATTGGTAAGTTGGTATTAATTTAGTCATTTAATGATTTAATAATTAAATATTTGTTACTGTTTGTAAAAAATTCAGAACACTTATTGATTGTTGTTAATAAAAAAAAAATCCAGAAGTCTTATTGATAGTTGTTAATGTTGGAAAGCTACCCAAAATGAGTATCAAATTTGGAAAAGCACAAAGGGAAAATCTTTAAATATCATATGCAATCAGATTGGTCTAATTTTAGTATTTTAATAAGGGAGTCTAACAAATTAGTCTGTCAGACAGTGGTCATTAATGAAGCTTTATGTTTCTAAGAACACTTGAATCTCATAAGCTGAGTTTGC